ATTTTATTTAGGGACGATTTTAAGTATAATTTTAATTGGAACACAGCTTCGAATATTTGGTTTTAATTTGGTTTTAGAGGGGTTTTTATTTTTATTGATATGTATATCTGTTTTAATATGCTGTGCACCGCCCTGAGTCCTGCGGGAGAAGGGCGGTATAGAAATTAAAATAATAATAAAATAATAATAATAATAATAAATTGGCTTGAGATACACTGATTTAATAGCTAAGAAAACAGCATGGTTCCTTTCAAGACCCAGTATAGTCACACCTTGGTATTTGGCTGCTTTAATACTCGTCAAATTTGCATTTTGACGGGAAAACTTTGTACCGATACTTGTTAGGTACGCGGCATGCAAGATAGAAATTGTTGGTGTTGGTTGCCTCCATGCTCCACTTTCCAGCCGAAATAGCTGGAATCATGCCATCTTATCTTAGTTTCTGTGGTCATTTTGTGTATTTTTGCACCTTTATTTCCCCTCATCAGTACAGATTAAAAAAAAAAATTTATTTAAATATTTATTAACTAACTGTACCCAGCCACGCATTGCTGTGGCTCTCGTTCACTCAGCAAACATATGGCGCTATTTTTCAAAAAAAGCATGTTTTTACCTGTCACAGGTGTGACATCTATATAATAGTAGGTATATAAAAACACGCGCGTATTCGAATGCAACGTTGTGTCAAAATTTCAAAGCAATCGGTGAAGAACTTTTGGAGATTTAAGATTTTTGAACAAACGAACATTTACATTTTTATTTATATAGATTTTCAGGTTTATTTCTCATGTCAAGCAATGATATACAAAGCCTATCTTTTTACACAGTGGCTTAAAATGTGGTTTGGGAACGCATTCAGGTTTTTTATATTATTCCTTATGGGAAAAATTTGTTTGGTGCTTGTCATTTCTCTGTACCCATCATCTCCTGGAACCAATTAACAAGTACTGAGGTTCCACTGTATTAATAGATTAGGAATTGGTTATCAATTCGGATTGGCCGGCGGCCTTGGGCAGTTCATTCTAGATCAGGCTTGGATTGTCAATGCTCACTGTAGGACTAATGGATGGATTAATATAAAAATGTACTTTTAAGAGGTAGCAAGCTTGGGTTTTGGTTCACTGTCCTCTTGGGACAGCTTGAATGCAAGTACTAACAAACGATTTTATAAGTGCAACTGATTCTCTATTTTGTTAGACAAGCCCATATAAATGAGGAGATAAAACAGATACTAATAATAATAGTAATAATAATAATAATAACAACAACAACAACAACAACAACAATAATAATAATAATAATAATAATAATAATAATAATAATAATAATAATAATAATAAAGTTGGAAGGGACCTTGGAGGTCTTCTAGTCTACCCACTGCCAGCAGTTCGATCCAGACCCGCTCAAGGTTGACTCAGCCTTCCATCCTTCCAAGGTCGGTAAAATGAGCACCCAGATGGTTGGGGGCAAATAGGCTGATTCTGTAAACCGTTTAGAGAGGGGCTGTAAAGCACTACAAAGCGGTATATAATTGCTATTGCCCTGGGTGGCTGTCATGTGATTCCCCCCCCCCCCGTGGTCTATTCTAGTAGTCTCTTCAAGAGACCCATTCCAAGCTCTCAGAGAGTAGCTTTGGCAGCGAATGAATATAATAATAATAATAATAGTAAAGTTGGAAGGGACCTTGAAGGTCATCTAGTCCAACCCCCTGCTCAGGCAGGAAACCCTATACCATTTCGGACAAATGGCTGTCCAGTCTCTTCTTAAAAACTTCCAGTGTTGGAGGTCTTCACTGTATTTTTTGTTTGTTTGTTCTAGAGCTTGTTTCACAGCCACGTCGAAGAAGTGCAAGTGCGGAACGATTTGCTGGACTGCCATATTAGCATCTGTTCTCCCCAGGTAGGTGGTACAAAAAGCATCGGGAATTACAAGCAGACCTTGCTTATATTCTTTCATCGTGCCAAATTATAATTTGCTTAACCATGCTTGGGTGGACGACTCCAGGACACTGCAATCCTCGTAAACACGTGCCAGCTGCCATTTTTGATGCTGAAACGGTTGTAAGTATGAAAAAGATGTAAGTCACTTTTTTTCGGTGCCGCTGTTAACTTTGAATGGGCGCTAAATGAAGTATTCTAAATTGAGGACTCCCTCTTGTGCCCTCCATGTTCCTTTTTTTTGCACTTCAGTCTATACTTTGAATGAGACACATTCATAGTTCTTCGTGCCAAAGGTTGAGACGCTCTTGTTTCAGACACAATTATAACATTTAAAGTTGTATTAGAAAAACAACCTTTTTTGTTCTTCCCTTGTAGGTGACCGAGCTGTTTACAGATAATTTTGATTATCAAACTCGGGATGACTTTGTACGTGGCTTGTTGGTGAATGAAGAGGTAAATATGTAGTGGGAATAATAATAATAATAAAGTTGGAAGGGACCTTGTAACTCATCTAGTCCAACCCCCTTCTCAGGCAGGAAATCCTATACCATTTCAGACAAATGGCTGTCCAGTCTCTTCTTAAAAACCCAAATTCCAGACCAGATTCTTACTGATTCCTCATGATTTGCGGAAGCTAAGACACCTTAATAATAACAATAATAATTCATTAAACCTGCAGGCTGCCACAATAGCACAAAAATTATTAATTTATGTATTTATTAAACTTACATGCCGCCCATCTCACATAGAGGTGATTCTAGGCTGCTTACAATTGACAAAAGCATCAAGGTGAAACATTAAGACAATAAATATCTCAGGGGCTGCCCCAAAGAAAAGGGAGTCAAGCTATTCTCCAAAGCACCTGAAGGCAGGACAAGAAACAACGGATGGAAACTCATCAAGAAGAGAAGCAATCTAGAACTAAGGAGAAACTTCCTGACAGTTAGAACAATTAACCAGTGGAACAACCTGCCTCCAGAAGCGGTGAATGCTCCAACACTGGAAGTTTTTAAGAAGAGACTAGACAACCATTTGTCCGAAATGGTATAGGGTTTCCTACCTGAGCAGGGGGTTGGACTAGATAACCTCCAAGGTCCCTTCCAACTTTTATTATTACTATTACTATTATTATTATTATTATTATTATTATTATTATTATTATTATTATCATCATCATCATCATCATCATCATCATCATCATCATCATCATCCCTTTTTCAGTGCCGTTGTAACTTTGAACGGCCACTAAGCAAATGGTTGTAAGTCTTGAACTACTTGTAACGTTCCAGATGACATCCCAAGGAGAATATTCCTGACAGTGAGAACAATCAGTGGAAGGGTTGGAAGGGACTTCGGAGGGCCATCTAGTCCAACCCCTTGCTCGAGCAGGAGATCCTTACAAAATCACAGAATACCAGAAAATTTGAGGTCTTTCTTAATAGCCCTTCTCTGTTCCTCAGGTCCTTGGAAACCAGATCCATATGTACGTGACCTCAGAAGAATACGGCGCCTCTGTTTCCAATTTGTCGATGTACGAGTCGGTGTCCTCGGACATTCTGCAACGTTGTGTCTATCCCATAACCCCAGAGATGAACTTCATCAACGGGAAGCAGAGCTGCACTCATTCCCGCCACAATATTTACCGGGGTGCTGAAGTTAGTCTGGGCCAGGAGAGCGTGCTGGAAGAGAACGTACTCGTGGGGCAAGGAACGTCAGTGGGCAAAAAATGTTGCATAACCAACAGCGTCATTGGGCCCAATTGCAAAATAGGTAAGTTCTGATGCCCGCAAAATAGGGGGCAGTTTGGCCTGAAGAGACCTTTGCCCCGCTTGGAGTGCCGATACAGGAAACATGACGGAAACAAGTCTTAATACAGGTGGTCCTCAACTTACGATCACAACTGAGCCCCAGATTTCTGTGCTCAAGCAAGACATTTCTTAAGTGAGTTTTGACCCATTTTACGACCTTTCTTGCCTCAGTTGTTAAGTGGATCACCGCAGGTGTTTAGTTAGTAAACCAGTCGTTAAGTGAACCCGGCTTCCTCCATTGACTTTGCTTGTCGGAAGGTCGTCAAAGGGGATCACGTGAGCCCCGGAGGACACTGCGACCGTCATAAATATGGACCAGTTGCCAAGCGTATGAATTTTGATCATGTGACCAGAGAGGCTGCAACCGTGTGAAAAAGGGTCATCACTCACTTCGGTGCCGTTGTAACTTGGAACTGTCACTAAGCGAAGCGTCGTAAGCCGAGGACTACCTGTAATTGTTGAACCCTGAGGGGTGGTGATGCAAAATTTGAAGACTGGATCAAACCACCATTCCCATCAGATTTCGTGCAGTTGCTAATTTACTGGGGAGAAATTTACAGCTAATTGACTCCAGAGGCAAAACCAGACAGGAACAGCATGTTAGGATGGCTTGCAGTAGTCTAGCCAAGGGTAGGTAACCATGGCTCTTTTATGACTTGTGGACTTCAACTCCCAGAACTGACTCAGGAATTCTGGGAGTTGAAGTCCACAAGTCATAAAAGAGCCAAGGTTGCCTACCCGGGTCTAGACACCAACTACATAGGGTAAATGATTGATTTGAATCCAGGTCTTCCCCATCACATGTAAAGTGTGGCTCTCTTGATTGAATATTGCTAAGCCAGCGAGGAATTAAGTGAATCTGGCTTCTCATTAACTTGGCTTGTTGGAAGCTGGCTGGGAAGTTTACACATGGTGATCATGTGACCCCCCAGGATAGTGCAACTATCATAAATACATGCCAGCTAGCAGGCACCCAAATTTTGATCATGTGACCATCGGGAGGCTAGAATGGTCGTAGGTGTGAAAACCGGTCATAAGCCAGTGCAGTTGTAACTTGGAACGGTCACGAAACCAACGATTGTAAGTTGAGAACCACCTACATCATGGCTTCTGAGCTGTAGGATTTCACGTAAAGTGCAAAGGAAAAACAAACCACATTACACCGTGGGACAGTGAATAGACACAACTAGCTTATGTATTGTAAGCAGACACCTGGA